ATTAAAAAAGTAATATTAGACAAAACATCCTGTATATAGAATAACTATAGAAAGGCATAACAAATCGCAATTGATATTTCAGAACATAGGATACGTAATTTCATAAAATCTCATCTCTGATTTAATTTTAAATAATTAATTCCTTAATAAAGCTTTTTTTTTAAATTTAAAAAATACAGTAAAAAAATATAAACTGCAAATAGTATCAAGATATATATATATAAGGATAGTTTCAAAAGTGCACAAAAAGGGATAATTTGTACGAATAACATAAAACAGTTGTACAAATCGAACCGATATTATTTTTGAGCGTTTTATTAAGTTTACTATGATTTTAATCGATACAATGATTTCTGTGGTATACTGTTGTATACATCGAGACGCGACTTCAACTTTCTTTCCAATCTTTTATAGTATATAAAATATTCAATCACATTTATTATATTTTTATAAAACGGAAACAAAACAAGAAATTAAGAAATGGAAGAATCAATAATTACGAAAAATAGTTGCATTAGTGGAGTTAACACTTTTAAAAATCAAACGTTTCATTGTTTAGAAAATTTAAAAAAAAAAAAAAAAAAAACGATATTCTTCGAGTGACGCAGGAAAGTAAGTTGAAATTTCATCCGACAATGAAAAAACATAAATGCAATAATAACGCGTCGGCGTGCGCTTCGAGTAAATTTTGCGGATGATTCTTTTTTTTTTTTTTTTTTGTAGGTTATCTTAAACGAAAGTTGGACGATTGGAGAAAAAGGATCGAGCGGAAGGGGAGCGAGGAATATGAATATATAATATCTTATATCGTGTATCCATAAATGTTAAACGTTATTTCTTATTCTTTTTTTTTTTTTTCTTTTACCTCGTCTTATCGATCTCGTATTCTTGACTCGTTTTTCATCTCGTTTTTATTAAATGTTAGATAGAGCTTATAAGGGACGCTTGAAGCCGGTCTCGCGGCGAACTTCAGGCGCTCTTTTGTCGTATACTAGCTGTGCCAAACGCACTTGTACTGGTCGCATGGTTGGCGAAACAATGGGTTGAAGATTGACTTTTGAGATCGCTTTAAACTTTTTTTTTTTTTGTATTTTCATGAAAATTATTGGTCAAATAAAATAATAAATATGATCAAAAAATTAAAATTAAAAATTAGATTGTTATATAAATAAATATAATATAAGATGGTCCAAATTTTGAAACTAGAAATTGAATATTACAAAATTGTATTAATAAAATAAATTCAATTCTCAATTTTCGATCTTCAGCCTACTATCTCAACCGCGACATATTATTTAACAACAGAATTTAATCACCTAATCATCAGGAGGATACTCGTAATTCTCATTTTCGCCTCGTCTTCGTTTATACAATAAATGGATATCTTTTGTTTTTTTTTTTCTTCTTCTTCTCTCCTACGTGCTAAGTAATAAATCGTCGAGCCGCAAATCTATTACGATAATCGTCGACAATCAATATATTTTAATAAATCGGATAGAAATCACCTAGCTGTCGATCGACTTTCTTCTGCCATTAAAAAAATACGTCCAACGGTTTTGGGCGTCGTAATAAATTTTCAATAATTCATAATTATTAATAATAATCGCTTTCCAATCGGAGATGTAATAATACAATTGCAATGGGATCCAACGCAACGCGAGGATCGCGAATATCAATAATATTAGTATAATAATAATGACAATTATAATAACGTCGATAATAATAATAGTAATTAATAATAATAGCGACCATTGATATAATAATAAAATAAATCTCGTTTTATACTAATTTTAGCATCGTCGTTACAATGATGTTACTTAGCTGTTACAGTTTTTGCCTATGGACTATTCTCTTTTATATACTTCTATATGTATAGCTACAATATATAATATTTTCATGTTGAAAAATCGTATACATTAGTGTTGTGTCGCAGGACCATTGCTTCATTTCTGTTCTGTTTCCCGATCGTACTTTTTTTTTTTTATCTGTTTGTTTCATCACTTTTTTTTTCCCTTTTACCGTCTTTTCATTTCGATTATCTTCGTTCGATGGGTCTCGCTGAGAGGGGGGAAAAGGTGGCGTCGATGCATAGAAGCGTTCACGCTTGATGTTCGAATAACAGCATCGAATGAAAAAGAAAAAAAGAGAGAGGAAGGAAAGAGATGAAGGAGAAAATAACGGAAAAAAAAAAAAAAAAAAAAAAAATGTAAAGCAATCGGAAACGGGACTTGTCGTTTTCGATCACTTTTTCGACTTCGCAAGTAATACGAAGAATTTTCTCGTATAAGAAGTTTGATATATGTATAACTCTACGTGCAAATACATTTGAGAGTAAAATTCCCTCAAAAAGTTTCTCTCGAGAGTATTTTTCACAAATGGACACTGAGATCAGAATGAAAACTACTGGTTGAACAGTAACCATTAACGAGAAATGACCGTCGAAAATAATTTTCAAGAATTTTACGTCAAAATGTATTCGCATGTTTAGGATAATTTCGTATATCGCGCGTGTATCTCGTTCGTTAGCACTCGATCGGTAAATCAGATCCCAACAACATCGAATCGTTCGATTTGTCGGGCGATTTTTTTTTTTTAAATGCACGTCACTTAGAAACGTGAACGCTTCTCGCTTAGAGAATCTGTATTACATAACATTAATAGCTTAATATCGATTTTTTTTGTTTTTGTTTTTCTTTTTTTTTTTTTTTGTTTTAGTTCGTATTACCCGCCTTTATAGGCGAGCCTCGGATCACAGATAGTGAGGTGATCGTATTGCGCGAGCATTTTCACGATACAACTTATACATATTATATGTTCCTACATCATATTTCATTCTCGTTAATTGTCTGTTTCGCGTATCTTCTTGCGATTCCTCTAAGTATTTCAAGGCGACAGCTCCTGAAAGCAAACAGTACCGGCCGTGTACGCGAACGTGATCACACAGTCGCGTGAAAAAGCTGTATTCTATAGCAATTCTTCGTTTTCTTATTTGCTTACGATCGCTTTTTTTCCCTTCTATTAATCGAGATTAAAAAAAGTGTTCCAATATTTTATTACTGGCCTCTTTAGTTAAAATATCCTATTTGATATTCTTTTCTTTTTATTTTTATATATATATAAATATTTTATGTTTATTCTTTAATTTTTAAATAAATTTATAAATCTCTCCGAGCCTTTTGAACCTTTCTGAGATCTAGATCCAATGTATAAAAAGAGATCCAATGGTTACAAAAAATATTTGTATATATTAGGTAAATTTATTAAATAAATATATTATGTTTCAAACTATTTAATATATTATAACTATTTTTTATGATTATTATTCAATTATTATTAATTTGATACGAAAATGAAGAATATAGAATATAATTTTTTTAAAAAAAGACTACATTGAAAGACAAGAGTATACACAAATATTTTCTGTATCCATTTTATTAATCTTAAAAGTCTCAAGAATGTTTAAAAAATAAAAAAGAATGATAAAAATTTCAATTTTCACGTTATGAAATACTATGTAGGACATTCCAACTAAGGAGGACAGAGGAGTTTAAAAATCTTATAATAATTAAAAAGAAAATAGAATAATATAGAATAATCAAATAGAAGATATATGCTTCGCGTGTGACATTGTTTGTCTGAAAATATCTTTTTCTGGCGACTATATTCATATTCATGCACGCATACGGTCGAAGAAGAAACTTGGTCGGAACGCAATCTTTACGTTTCTGCCCAGTTTATGGTAGAAAGTTTACCATTCGTAATTGTAACACACGTGTTATACAGATACGAAAGTATAGAATATATATTTTTATACACATGTATACGTATACACAATACATATGTAACCTACGTACGTACGACCAACTAAGGGTAGACAGGCGCAATCGTATATATATTATATTTATATATATATATTTTTTTTTTTTAAATGTCGAATCCAGTCGAATCCAGTTTTTCAAAATCTATATATTTTTTGGAAAAATTCGCATATATCGATAAAATCCGGCTTCGATCCGAATTTCTTTTGCAATTTTTATTAACCTCGATATGAACATTTTATTTTATTAGAAAATATATTTTGGACGTGCTCGAGTTGTGCTCGAAGCCGAATATGTACGTATGTTTGAAAAATGTTTGAAATTTTTGGCGGTTAATTCAAATTCTCTGGATTCGACACCATATGTATGTATATGTATCGGGTGTTGAAATTAATAGAAACAGAAAAAAAAAAGACGTAAAGGAAATGAATTTTAATTAAGATCTCGTGCTGAATCGTTTGTTTACAAAAAAAGAAAGGGAAAAAAGGAAAAAAAAGAACGAAGAGAACTGCTCGGAGTTTCTCGATTCGCTCGTAGGTACAATCATGCACACAATTTTTCAGAAAAATAACAAAGGGTACGATATTAAGCTCTTTTTTTTTTTTTCCTTACAACGAGGACACCCCTACAAATTATTATTATCGTATTAAATATTAAAAATACACGTGGGTATTTTTAATTATTTCGATGAATAAATATTATTAATCGAGTAAAATGATAATTATAATCTGTCCTCTGTGAAGGAAAATGGTGTCCTCGCGTTCAAACGTAATTGAACAAATCAGCACGCAAACATTGTCAACGCATCGCTGCAAATATAATTCGAAGCTAAACTTAAGACTCGGAACTTAAACCATAATCGAACGTAGGAAACATTCGCTAGCATTACATGATATTCGGGATGCTGGGATTAGATTTAAAATGAATTACGTCAGAATAGAAAAGAAGACAAGTTTGAATGATTATATGTCGCGTCGAAAGATTAAAAAAAAAAGAGAGAAAAAAAGTTAAAAAATATATACACGTACATTAGAGATGAGTCGAAACTTAATTTTTCTTTTTAAATTTTAACGTCTGGAATTTTTTAAATTCATCTTCAATCATATTTTTTAGAAAGAATCTATATCTATATCGTTATCTAAAATAAAACTCAATAAGATATTAATTTAAATAAAAATAAATTCGTATCGTCACATTTCTTTAAATTATTTATTGTTACGTTATAAATTATTCTTCAAAAATTTTGAACATCACAAGAACAAAGAAAAAAGTTTCAACATCTTTTAAGTTTCGAGTGCATTCTCATTCCTAATATACTTACACATATTTAAAAAAAAAAAAAAAAAGTATTCTTTTCTTCTTCGCGCAAAGAAAATCGTTCCCTTAAATCCTTACCCAGCAAAAAAAAAAAAAAATTACGCTACGCATTATAATGGAGGGATATACATAATGTGACGTTAAAAATTATTGTAAAAAACAATAAAGGTCAAGTATTAAAAAAAGAAGAAGAAAAAAGAAAGCAAGAAAGAAAGAAGGAAAGAAAAAATCAAATTTTGTGAATAAATTGAAATGAAACTAGATATACAATGGGTTTCATATAACAATAAAAATATCTGTACAAGCTGTCTATCTATGTATGCGTGTATATGGCATACGATACGATAAAAAATAAAAATTAGTTGATTGTATACGCTCTCTCCCTCTCTTTCCTTAGCTAGGCGCCTGTACGCTGCCGTATTGTCTCAAATAGAAGCGAACCCTACGTTCTTAGGAGCGCAATTGCCCTATAACGGATTCTTATCGTTCGCCGTCCTTTCCACTCTCTCTCTTTCTCTCTCTCTCACATACACACACACTCTCTCTCTCTCTCTTTCTGCCCGCCATTTTTTTTTCTTTAAATTCCTCTTTCTCTTTTCGCTCTTTAAATCCTCTGTAAATAGGTGACGTGTATGCTTAATGCATCACAGTCACTCGATAAGGCAAGATTTAATATCAAGATCGAAGGACAGAGGCAAAGAAGATGCGAACATCGAGTAAACGAATTGTTTTTCTCTTTCTTCAAGCGTGATCCATCGAATGATATATTCGAGTCGAATATTATTCCCATGCTCGTGTACCTCGAGAAACATTAATTATTTCGTCCTCCTCAGTCGAAACTTCGTATTTTAATGTTTTTTTCCTTTTTTTTATTGTTTAAATTATATATATAGATCGAAATATCTTATATTTCTGTATACTTTATGCTTTTAAATTTTAAATAGTAATATAATGTAACGTAATTATGATACGACTTATATATATAATATATAATATTTATATATTACGATATTTAAGTCACAATAGGCCATCCCATGTGCAAGTCTGTTGTTTGAAAAATCTATTTTCCATAGATTTTTGTTCTATTTCGACACGATACGAGTTAATATCAGTTAAATTGTCTACTAAATCTTTATCCATTATTGCTTTCGAGTAGATATTAAACGTGATCGGATATATTTTTACAACGCGAAAAGAACTTTCTTTCTCGATTTTAATTTAATTTTTCATTCTATTCTAACTTATGCTAAACGTTACGCTAATTATACCTTATAAATTTAATGATTCGAAACTGAAAAACTTCTTATAGGATGACCTATAATAATAAAACAGTCACGTCTATTATCCCTGAAAAACACGGGGGATAAGAAAACGAATATGAAATTCTCATTTCATTCACCGTCGAATATTAGAAAGAAACGAAATTCGAACCAAGGAGGACAGTTATCGAAACAGTTACAATTGTATAAACTGACCCGCAATAAAACTTACGTGTATCGCCGCATCGTTCTGTGCGCTTGGCCCTCTCTCTTGACGCAAAAAGGAGAAAAATGTTTCAAAACCGGAGAAACTAATGTTATCATTAATCGTAGGAACACCAACGAACATTATTTCCATGTGTGTGGCTCGGAGGTGCGCGTATATCGCATGTGTGTATACGTATGTGGGTGTATGTGGCCGTATGCACAACGAGAGCATGTGCGTGTCGGTATAGTGGGTGACGACGTAGTAGTTCCTGGTTGTCCGGTTAGCAGTACGTCTGCTTTTCTTTCTTTCTTTTTTTTTTTTTTTTTTCCATTTCTCTGACATACACTCTGCTCTATGTTTTTCCTCTTTTTTTTTCCCCTCGTTTTTCTTGTTGCGTTTTTCCCTTTTTCTCTTTTCTCCTCTCTCTCTCTCTCTCTCTCTCTCTCTTTTCTTTCGGTACGTATATATCTCGTTTTATTAGTCTCGTTACCATACTATATAGCTCGCTCATTTCCAAAAGTAATTTTAGACGCGCGGTCGTTTTTCATTCTCTCGGTCAGAATCAGAGTCCGCTGAATCGTGGAGCGGCGGAAATTCCGGAACCGCCTCGCGTTGCTGCATCCATCCCGCCGCGCCTGGCCCCCCAGCCAATGCCTTGCCCTGCGTCATTTTTTTTCGATTTTTTTTTCAATTGATTTTTAGCCCTCTGTCTTTATCCCCTGCAGGTGGCGACAAAATTGCGTGTCATTGGTCACTAAGCCTCGCCTTCGTTTCACAACTTTACGCATTCTTTTGTCAACAAAGACAGACGTCTCTCGAATTAACCGCGAGAATATATATGTTAAGTTAATGAGTTAACGTACGAAAGCGCGGGCTATTTGAATTGGCTGCTCGTATCAGGATTCCTATCATTATTTTGTTGTAAGAATTTTTTTTCTTATTTGATTTTTCTTTTCTTTTCTTTTTTTTTTTTTTTTCTTGTTCTTCTAAAATGCAAAACGACTTTGACTCCCGTTACGAGCACGAAAGGATTTGCCTGCTACATGACACACGAAAAGATTCTAATGATCGAGATGATTTGCGAACAAAGGAACAAACAGCAAAACTATGAAAAATCCTTTCATTCTATTATTAATTTTGCCAATGCAACAAACCGGCGCCTATTCTACTTTCTACGCGAGAAATTTAGAATTTTGCAATTTAGAAAAACTAAATAAATATGAAATGTCTGGCATCCGTTCTCTTTCACGCTCTTTCTCTCCCACTTTCTTTCGCCTCGTATCTTATTCACCCAGAAAACCCCAGCCAATCCGTCCCGCAAAAACAAGAAGAAAAAAAAAGAAAAAAAAAAAAAATAAAACAATGATAAAAAAAAAAAAAAGAAAAAAAAAATGAAAAATAGAAGTAATGGTAAACGCACACACGTACTACTGTGTAAGATCAATATAAAACGTATATATAGATTGTAATTCTACATGCAGCCATGCATGCCACGATAATGTCTTTTGTATAATTATCCATCCATAAGGAGTTCTCCGATTTCCGTAATTCATTTTACATATCATGATGTGTCTCAGTATGTGTAATATGAAAACGTAAGAGTATGTATGCGTTGCAGTGCGTTGCAAAACTCTTTCAAAGATATTCTAAGATGTAAGGTTAAGTATCGAAAGCCATATGACCGCATGGTGCGTTTTTTTTTTCTTTTTGAGGGTGTATCTGCACAGCACAGATAGATTGTAAGTAGCACATAGTGGTAGAACTGGGAAAAATTTGAAATAAATTAAATACTTAGAAAATTGAAAAATATTTCTAATAAGCAAATATTATTTTAAGATACTTTATTTATATATATTATAGACAAATACTATTTATTATTTACATTTGAATTCGATACAAATAAAAGAATTATTTTTCATTTAATTGGAAGGCAATATGCAATATTTTTTAATCTTTAGAAAATAGATTATATTTTATCAAGTTTTGATATGTTATTTTATATATATATATATATATATTATACATATATTAATAGTACGATTTCAATATATTAAATTGTAATATATTTGTATTAAAGATAAATATTTCTTATTCGAGATATCATCTTTTTAAAATAGTATGAATTGATATGAAAATATATATTTGAGATATTATTATGCAATTATTATTTTTAATACAGTATTTTATTTGCTTATAATCTTGTTTTTCCCAGCTCTATGTTTGCCTGATCCGCGTGCCATTATGCGCAACAAAGAGGCATGTCTGACAATGAACTGCTACTGTAATCGAGAAAATGATCGAATCGAACGATCTCGTAATCCCTCGACAACTAAAATCACAATAAGCCGCCTAGATTCAGATTCATTAATCCTTTCGGAACCATCGTTATCGGTTAAACACAGTCCATAGCGAAATATAAAAAAAAAAAAAAAAAAAGAAATAAAAGTTTCTAGTTATTCAACCGATTTCGAATGCTCGACCGTGTCCCATCAAACGTGGTTGGATTAATTTACCATTTGCTGCCATCAATTTTCGTAATTTATCTATAAAACGAGCTACCTCGTGTTTTTTTTTTTCTCACCCAAGGAAGGCATAAAATATTTATAAAAATTTTATTGCACATTTGGCAAAGTCTAATTCTAAAGCTCGAAGACGAGAATATCGCGTCGAAAATATCTCAAATACAAAGTATTATAAAAATTCGACATTTCAAAAACTTTTGTTTGGGATATTGAAAATTGTTTTTAATATTTTCTTTTTCTTTTTTTTTTCTTTCTTTTATAAATTTTGACGTGCATAATCAGAACATTATGGTATATAATTGTCGAAATTCGATTTGAAATTATGTGCATGCGATGTTTCGCGAATTGGATACCATGTTGAATATTCAGCCAATTTGAATGAACGATAGAAACACTAGCATACGTGAAATTAAAATTAAGTTTAAGAATAAAAGTTAAGTTAAAATTTAAAAAATAATAATAATAAATTAAAAAACTCTTTTAAAGAATTCAAATTGCATTATTTAAAATTTTAATAGCATCTTATAATGAACGGGAATTAATATTCAATTCTCGAATTGTATTAAATGCAAGAAAGTCAATAATATTACAACGATGATTTTATCGATAAAAATATTATTCATTGTAATATTAGTTGTATCACATGAAATTTTAAATTGTAATAATAATTTGGCGCGTGCTCGTGTTTCTATTCAACATGACGTTACGTGACTCGCAAAACATCTTGAAACTACAGAATTTCACATGCAAATAATATTTCAATCAATGAATTCCAACAAAGAAAACCGTCACTTTCGGATTTTGCGCATCGAAATATATAAAAAAAAAATACTAAAAAAAGAAAAAAAAAATCCAAAAATCACAATATCCCCAACTTAAGGCTCAGTAAAAAAAATATATATATTTTAGATATAGATATTTTCTTTTCCAGATGTTCCATATTAATTAAATAATTTCCCGGCTTCGAGCAAGACACAAGATAAGCACGACACGATACGTGAGAAAGGCTCGAAATCAAGCGCCAGAAATATCGACGAAAAAAAAAAAAGAAATACGTATATAAATGTATATTAATAATATATATATAATATTTACGAGTATATTGCACTATCGACGAGTTAATGACACGATTCTACGCGAATCTCATTTTTTTTTTCTTCTTTTTTTTTTTTTGTAAGCTTATCATTCGTCGACCGCTCAAGAGAAAAAGACCTGTGCTTGTTGCAACGAAGGATGATATCCTGAACGGCTCGTCGATTTTTAATCTCGAACACATCGTTCGTTAATTCTCTGTCAAACACACACTTCACGCATTCTTCCATTCTCTCACTCTTTCTCTTTCTCTCTCTCTCTCTCTCTCTCTCTCTCTCTCTCTCTCTCTCTCTCTCTCTCTCTAAAACGCAAACGAATTCGTGTAAAGCCAGCACGTCGAGCTGATCGAAGACGAATCTACGATTGCGATTGGTTTTTTTCGTCGGCATGGCGCGTCACTGTGAACACACAACAAAAAAGCACAAAAGGCTGAGATCAGTTGGACACGCAGGCAGACACCAACCGTGTGTATGCGCACGCGCGTGTGTATATGGCTTTTTGCCTTTCGTTTAACCCAGGTGATCTCGTGATATTTTCCTTCCTTCCCTCCCGCGCTCTCCTCTCTCTCTTCCTTACTTACTCTCCTCTCTCAATTTCTTTTTCTCACTCTCTAATTGCGTGAAGTCTGATTCGATGTCTCTCTCACTCTCTGTCGCCTTCTATGAATTTCGTTTCATCTGCACCAAGAGAAAAAGAAAGAAAAAAAGATCTAAGTGAATTTGAGCGGAGCTTGACTTGGATTGTATTCGAAGGGCAAACAGCCGACCACCCTGGCGGGAACCGTACATCTTGTGCTCTGCGCAAAGAAAATTATATCCATTTCGCCGATAACGACGAGGAAGAAAATCATAATTCGATTCGATATAATAAAGGAGATGAATAGGGGATATATGAGCGAGGATGTTTGATTTCAAATCGTATCGAGTCGCGCCAAGATGGACGGTCCGCCGACGAAATTCGTGTGTCAGCCGGATCGTTAGGTGATGGAGAGTAGAAGAGACCAAGGAACAGACGACCGAATGTATGTATTTGAATATGATAGTATTATAAGTGCCAGAACTGTGCGAACTGTGCTTGTAACAATGCGCTCGAAAGCGCGCGGCCGTCAGTGCTTTTTTTTTTTTTTTTTTTTTCCCGAATCGATCCTCTTTTCCAGGTCGCTTTGCACTTCTCTCGAAATACGATCTCGTGGCATATCGCGGCTCAATGAAATTTTACTCTTTCCTGTTTCGCTCAAACACGTTTCAGATGTACCGTAAAATATTCAATTGCGTGATTGACGAGTAGAATCGCGTAGGTTTCATAAGTCATTGGACACTTGCTGGAATTTTTTTTTTTTTTTTTTAGCAATCCTTTTTTCTCTCGTATAATTGTAATATATATAATTTTATAAAATTAAAAAAAAATGAATTGTGTATAATTTTCTTTAAATTAAAGAAACTGGAAATTTGGATTTGTCCTGCGTTGGATTAAAATTATGAAAATGAACTATCTATTACTTTAATATATATTTCTATAATTTTATATATAACACTGTGAATTTCATTATGTTATAATTGGTTAATTAATAATATAATCGCAATATTCATTTCATAATATATTTGAAATACGTGTCCAGTGACTCAGAGACAAGAATATATCTGTAAAATCTTTTAAAATAATATAAAGACGTAAGTGGAGTTAATAGAGTCCTCTATGGAGTTTTCTAAATTTTAAATAGGCAAAATATTTTAAATCATATGAGAAGAAATAATAAATAATTTTATTAAATATTTGAATTAAAATTAATTATTATAGTTAAATATTAAACTTAAAATATTTGACGTCTCATTATTAATTAAACTCCAACATTACAATTTTATTAATATTTTTTTAATATTATTAAAAATTGCAAAAAAATCAAAAGTTTTGTAAAAATTTTAAATACAGATATAATGCTTAGATAACAGAAAATTTTATGAAAGAATACGTTACTGATATATTCTGAGATATACAATTATAGAGGACCCAAATCACACCATTTAAAGCCTTAAAAAGGATTAGAAAAAAATCATGAAAAGAATCGAAATATCGAGAGAAGTAAATCGGTATCCACTGAAACGATTTGTAATAAAATTTGAAATTGTATAATTTGTAATGAAATTATGCAAAAATTGATATTGAAAAATACGTCGAAAGGCCAAAATAAAGTTTACATGTTTTATTTGCATAGAACTCTTCCTCCAAAAATGTGTATCCTCTCGTATTAGTAGATTTCTTCTCGTCAAGCGTATCAAAAGCAGGTGCGATATTCTCATCATCATAATTATTCACAAACTAAAAATAAAAAAATAAAAAAAAAAAAAGAAAAGAAAAAGAAAAAAAGTATCAAGCTCGTGATAAAGACATTATTCCTTTTTTTTTTTTTGACGTTGGACGATTTAGAAATTGTGCGAGCACACGTTAAACACACCGCACCCCAAATTTCTTGTTGCAACAAACACAGTTCTTTGATTTTTATTATGTTAGATTCGGGATAACCAACCAACAGATTATAAAGAACGAGGTTATTAACAAAAAAAAAAAAAAAAAAAAAAAAAGAACAAATGAAACCACAGAGAGTAATAAAATAAGGTCGACCAAATGTTAGATAGACCGATATATTAAAAAAAAAAAAAAAAAAAAAGTCTTGGTGCTTATATAATTGTATGCAAGCAATTGCCTTTTTGTTATGTATGCGATTATGGAAACGTTAGTGCCAGTTGCAGCAACAAGGCCGGTTTTATCATTGCTACGAGATATTAGAGTTAGGTCGAAACCTGATTTTTAGATCCGCGATCTATCGAATCTTTAACGAGACCTCGAAACTTTCAAAAAGTCTCGAAACTCTCGAAAATAAATATATATATATATATATATTTTTTAAAATTCTTTCTCGAATTAAAATTTTGAAATTCTTTACAATAAGTCATAATAACGACCAATAAATAATAACGGTCATCGATCATTTGGTTCATGAAATATTAAATTTATTATATTCTCATCTTTCCCACATATCTATTAAAATAAATCTAAAGACAAACACAATTATCTAAACACAAACATGTACATAATAGATTTCGAGAGTTTCGAACCAGAGACGACAAACTGAAATAACATTCTAAAATTATACTCCATCCCTCCACAACATATATTTCCAACCCTCGATGAGATCGCAGTTCAACACGTATTCGCTCTACAACTTGATCTCGTCGAATAATGATATAATATCATAGTTACATTATTAGCATTAATCGCGTTACAAAAAAAAAAAAAAAAAAAAAAAAAAAATAGAAAATATTCTGATCCGAATGTTCTTCATCGATGATGAAGGACTCGAGAAGCAAATAGCTCGATAAAATTCTTAGACGTAATGAGAAAAAGGTGAAGAATAGGCGAACATTCAGATATAGCGGAGAACGAGACGAGAAGCGAAGGTGATTTGAAAACGCGGTAGCTAGGAGGGAGTATGCATTTTAGTCGCTTCATTTCGAGCTGGTTCTCGCCCCTCGGGATCTGGAACCGTGGCCGAACCGGATGAACCGCGAAATTAATTTTCTTGCAAACTTACTTCGCTCTTCCGAGTTGATACGAATTTCTGGAAACGCAACGGTAACGAGAAAAATGCGAACGAGATCGAGCAATAATGACTCTGGATGCGGATTAATTCGAAGAGAGTGTATATTAATTATTATATCTTCTTTCCTCGAAATGAATAGGATACACTGGTAGGGGGAGAATATTTTTGACCCTTTCATAATGAATTACAATAGATTCAGAAGCAATTGAGAATTGTAACGTGTAAATTGATTAGCTTTGTTAATAATTGAAAATATATACGAGTGATGGTCAAATCTTATCACGATAAAAGTTATATATCATTCATTAGAAATAATTAAATATTGTTACATCCTCGAGTTTCAAATATTTTCAAAAAATAAAATATCTTTCTATATATATTTAAATATATTTATAATTATTTAAATCAAAATTTATAAAAAGAAAGTATAAATATACTATCTGTTCAAAAATAAAAAAATAATTATTTTAAGTTTTAAGTTTTGAATTCCTTGTAATTTCAGATATTATACTGTAAATTAATTAATAGAAAAAATAATCCACGATATAATTACACACATATATATATAGATTTTTACATACATAGAATGGATTAATAACGCGAATAAACTACATTCAACAAGTATTGAATTCATTAAAATAGTATGGAATAGAGATTTAATTTTAATTCGATACTAGAGTAGAGTTATTTTAATCAGATATTTAAACGTTTCTTGGTAGCGGCTTGCATTGGAATGCATTTTGAAATGAACCAAGGATGACACGGCGCAATATTTGTAACGAAATAGTATATATCGGATGGTGTATCGACAAGAAGGATATTTAATCCAACAATTGGGAATATCTACAAATTTCCAAGCCAGCCGAGCAACAGTCCTCGCATGTTTGTACATATATGTACACGAATTTAATTCAACGTCACTCTTTATCACGTGACACCGTCGAAATTGCATGTCAGAAAGATTTACTGGATTCGAAGAATCGGACACACTATACGATACGTTTTATTTCTTTGTTTTGGAATGTTGTTTTACACGAGGGGAGAATATAAGGACAGAAATTGGAAGCACGTGGCAACAATTTTAAATATTGATACCATGATTTTCGTACGCCATTTTATTGTTTCATGGATATAACTCTTAACACGCTATTATTATTTAAGGAGAAATTCGACTATCACAAAACACTTCAATTATAATACTCTTATATGATATTAAAGAAATAAAAATAAAAAAAAATAAAATAAAAATACAGTGAATTATTGAATACTGAATAAGTGCAAAAAAAAAAATTATAAAACAGTAAAAAATACAATAAAATCTAAATTTAATTGTATAATAAACGTAGCTCGTACTGAACACATGCCAAAAGAAAACCTTCTATTTTTACACATTCCATTTTTTTCACAAGAATAACACGATCATATATATCATTATAGGATAGGAAATTCTCATATACTGCATTGAAATATATTAAAAAAAAAAAAAAAAATTAAAATAAAAATGAAAAGTTTCATGATAAAATTATTTTTTTCATTTATATATAATAGCAAACGTGTTAAAAGTCGTCGCTGAATTCATGAAAAAGAAAAAAATAAAACAATGATTAAAACGACGAGGAAAATCATGGCATTTTCGTTTCTCTATCAAATACAGAAATTGGATCTCGGAAGATGCAGTTCCGTTGCGTTTCATCAGTCGAATAGAGGCAGCTCGTTAGAAACAGGACCTACCGAGTCTATTAATATGTGAGGGAAGCAACCCTACCTAAAAAGTGACTTAGCAACTCCAATGCATACTAAGCAACCCTTATGTTACTAGCTGCTGCTAGCTTCGTGTGCACTCCCTGACACACCTCCTCTTCTAACTTTCAGTTCCTACCACCACTATCGGCTCCTTCCTAAACCCATCTTTATGGGCTAGCAACAGCATATCCAACCCAGTTCTATATATACATATATATTTCAACACACACGTAATGTACTCGCACCTACACATGTAATTCTTTGGAAGCTATCGAAACACATTCATGCGTGCTTGACTCTACACAGAGTGCTCGATCGATAACAGAAATTGGCAACTTGTAATTAGAGAATATCTTGTCTCAGTAAATACAGAAAAAGTCAAAAGTGAATATAAAACTTACAAAGATAATATTTGTTTCATACTGATGTGAGATTGTAAATGTCTGCATTTTTCATTCTTAATTGTATTCATATATACAAATGGTCCTCAAGTATCCTCAATTTCCTCATATCGTTATACATATATTTTCTCCTGAAATAAGTTGTAGAATGAAAATATATATGTTATAAATCGAATTACCTATTTTTTTTTATATAGATGTACAATTTTCTATAAAATGTACATCTAAAATAGCTGGTACTTTTCAATTAATTTTTAATATGTACAACACAATTGCAAGATATAATAAATAAATTTTTTATTTTATACGTACGATGTATACTCACTTTTGACTTTCACTAGATTATATTCAATATCTTCATATTTTAACGTTTTCAATTTATCAAATTGAATTCTGTATATAAGCTCGAGCACAGATATTGTTTCATTATAATACACCGATTCATTGGATTCCACTTCCTCCTTCTTTCATTCTTCCATTCTCTTCCCCATTCAAACATTCTTTCTCGCTATATGTATGAATATGCGGTGAGATGGCACATGCATTTATGGAAAACACAATGCAATGGCTTGAAAATGGATGGAAATCAAGAGCAGAATTCTAATTTATCAACTCCGTCAAATATGATCAATCGTCATCCATAATGATATCGCATAAAAATGAAAATGAACAAATCTTGCCGTCTCTTTCCATTCATTCGAAGCCACTGGAAAAAATTCTTCAAAATCGGAGTCTAAGCGTTATTAAGATTGAATTTAGCACATGCTAAAGAATGCAGGAGGGCATTGAAGAAAGCGAGGCAATGATCACTGACTACAGGGGAGAAAATCTAATTTTAAATTAGAGAAGAAAAGTCGTGACGGTTTACCTGGTGCATAGGGTCGTAGCCCATCGAGCCATCGTTGTACGGTTGCGAGCCATAATCGCTACCATTTATGCCCATCCCGTATCCGGCCATGTCTTGCGGGCCACCAGGTGGCGCCGGCGACATCATCGGCGTCGGGGTGCCTTGGCTGGCACCACCCATACTGTACGGCGACGCTCCTGCAAAAGCTGCTGTAGAAACAATCGCGGTGCATACAAAATTCGAGGGTGCGTCTTTTTAAGTTCTTCCGCTTCACCGATACATTTCGTTTATCGTAAAAAATATAAGTAAACTCGTTTCTAATTTTTATTGTGTAATCGGTGGCGTTGTTGATTCTGATTTTTTATTTGATCTCATTTTTATCTTTAATCTTTTCGAGATTAATAGGATGATATATTAAAAGAAAATCGTGAAATTATTACGATTTTTTAGTATAATTGATATATAAGAGTATTGAAACATAGAGATTATATATTGGAGTGGAATGAATTTTTAATAGTGAATAAAACTATTACTAAATTAATTAATTCAAAATTTACTTCTCTGTGTTTGAAAAATTTATTACAAGTTATATAAATTCATTATTGGAACACGTTATATAATTTTGACTTTTTCATTTCTAGCTTATTCATCTCATTTCAAAAATTAATTACAATATTGTATTCATGATCAAAAGAAAAATTCTTCCAGAAAGAATTAATAATGGAGTATCAAAATTTTAATTTTCGACATTTTTTTGTTACAGACGCCACTGATCAATCAAATGGACAAATGTATCATTGGATCATCTTCAATATACCAGAAAAGAACGAATTATCGGTTGAAAGCGAATTTTTAATCAACTTTCAAATTATTCAAAGTACACGAAACGATATCAAGTTTTAAATATCAGTGTGGAAATTAGTTTAGTTATATACCAGCGTAATAGGAGCAATTTTTACTTTGAAACGTGAAAACATTTTCGCTATTCGAAACAAAATATCGAGGAATTCGCCAATGTTGGCGCCATTATTGTTGGAATTCCGTTTCTTTAATTACGAGAAGACTGCGTTTACCGGAAAGAGCATTGCTAAGGAAAGACAAACACAGGAAAGGTGTCGAAAGAAACGCGAGAATCTCATCGCCCTCCCCATGTATCCTCATCCTCGTCTTCTCATTTTTCGCTCCCTCTTTCTCAGTATAATTAGTAAGTTAAAAATATCTCGCCTTGCCCTCTAAAATAAAGAGACGTCGCTGTAGTTAAGAAAAGTACGCGTAATTGCAAGTTGTGTGAATGCGAAGAATTTTCAGAGGGTATATCCATGGAATTTTTCTTTCTTCATTCTTTTCTCAAGAATGCAAAAATCCAAATAGAAACGAATTAAAATAATGATATTGAAGAAAATCTATCTATTGTTATGGTTAAAGAAGATATGTTAAAACGGATAAAATATGTTAATTGCAAAAAGTTAAATGAATTTTTTTTTTTTGTATACTAGAAAGAAAAGATTAAGAATTGCGGACGATAATTTTGTTTACTCTTGAAAGATTTATAAGTCAGGTGCAATAATAATGGCATAGCCAGAACTGAACAATGAGTAGTAATTCAGTCGCGTAATGATTTATGGTAATGAAGAACCATTATACCACATGATTTGTTTTTCTTCTAAGTTCAGATTCGATGTTGGAATAATCGTGATGAAGTCAAAAAAATTAACGAGTTCATTAAATATATAATCTATTATGCGTCAATCTATTGATTGATTACGTGACATTTCCTCAGCAACGCTCCATAAATGGTAAAAAGAATAATCGAATAATTGAAGTTTTTGATAGATAAAATTACAATATTCGTGGATTTTTGATTGATATTCTTCAATCAAGTTATTCGAAACGAACTCTTCAAGGAACACCCGTCGCTCATTTGCGAAGGACGGAACTTACCAGCTGCCTTTTTGGCTGCGTACAAGTTCGCCTCCTCCTGTGCTTTACCTATGTTTTTCTTGTAGCGTATCCTCTTGTTGCCGAACCAATTAGAAACCTGCAAAAAAGATAACGATGCAAGATCATTAAGAAATTTTTAAAAAGATTTAATATTGAAAATAATATTATCAGAATTATCAATATTTATCAATATTTAAAATATCATTAATCATTAAATATATATTAATGATTAGACAAATAAGATACAGATCTTTTAAAAAAAGAAAGCTTGATATTGCAAAATGTTAAAAACAAAAATCTTAAAAATTTTATTTTACATTTAAGATAAAATTCATTCAATAATTTTTTCTTATTAATTTTACAATTAATTAAATATTATTTAATAGTTTTGAGTATGTATAAAAATATAAAAAATAGAATGATTCATTCTCAAATTCTAAACTGTGAAATTGATCATATAAAAAAAAAAATAAAATGATCATAATCAGAATTTTAATGTTAATGACAATCAGAAATGTATATTAATAATAACTTAACAACAGATATCTTAAAATAATAATTCACATTATTGTAGAAAAATTTTTTCTTGTATTTTACCTGACTCACGGTGATTCCACATTTTCGTGCGAGTTCTTCTTTAGCTTCTTCGCTTGGATATGGATTACTCAGGTGTGAATAGAAATACTCGTTGAGAATTTCAGAGGCTTGTTTGCTAAAGTTTCGTCTTTTACGCCTGTGATAAAAAGCAATTTATTTTCTCTTTGCACCGATTACTTTTCATATGTTAAACTTAATAAAAATAAATGATTAATTTTTACACGATGAATACTTACCTTGCATCGAGGAATCGACTCCTCAAAATCATCACAGCCTCACAGGTAGACTGTTTCAGTTGCATTTGAATGCTGGAGAACTTCTTATGAATAATCTGAACCATCCTCTCGATCTCTTTTGGCGTGATTGGCCTGGTACGACTTTGTTCCCTCAATAAATTCATTACGTGAGTTGTGAACTCGTTACACGCCTGGAAAAAAATTCAAATTTATTTTGTTGCTATTTTCCTTTTACTTCAAGATCTTTTTCTTTAATCTTTACAATTTTGTGTAAAGAATTAAAAGAAAAGTTTGTTGAATGTTAACTTTGTTATATTACAGTGTTATTTAAACATAAGTATTTTAACTTTTATTATTTGCTGATAGCTTTTCTAATTTTTTTTTTTTTTACAGGCAAGAATCGTCGACAAGCACTCAATTAAAAAAAAGAATAAGAAACTCCATCGTCAAAAAAAATTTCATAAGCTTCCTTCAAATATCTTACGAAGAAAAGAGTAATGTCTTGGCATCAAGAGTGATGTTTCTCAAGCAAGAATGAACGAAACCGCAAAAGGAAACGAAGAAAAAATGATTCGTTCAAAGAAGCAGAATGAAGCAGAAAACGAAAGAAAAAAAAAAGAAAAAAAGGAAGAAAAACCTATGACGATCGAGGGTAAAAAAGAGAGAAGAAAGATGCGTACGTATAATGCATTATTCCTGGTGGCTGCTCGGTTTAAGGGAAAAAGGACTTTGCTCGATATCAGTATTCGAGACGAGCACGCTACCTTCGGATAGGGAGCGAGGGAAAGGACACGAAGAGGAAAGGGAGAATGGAAAGTGGTAGAAAGAGGAAAGACGTAGAACAAGGGTAGAAGAGTATGGAGGAGGGTGGATTTTCCTGAGGGAAGGCGATAGAAGAAAGAGGTTGGGGAGAGAAGTCGGACAGGGTGGCTCGCAATTTCGAAATGGATTCCACTCTGCCGCCATACCCCGGCGCTTTCCTCGTCTTTCTTCCATCTACCTCGTTTCTCTTCGTTCTTCTTCTTTCCTTTTTGCTCTCTTTATTTCTCTCTCTCTTTCTCTTTTATCTTTGCACAAGGCGTACCACCAACTTGGTGGGGTGGATCAGCTTCATTCCTGGCTTGCTGTTCGCGAGGACGAGGGGCTTGGGACGATCTCGAGTAGGTGGATTGGATGGAAAACCCGCAGAGAATTATGCCCTTCCTTACGAACTTTTCTCCAATTTTTAAATTATTGTCCAAATAAAAATATACGAATTTTTTTTTTTAATATTCGTAATGAGAATCCTTTGGATGAATGATGGACGATGTATTGTCTTCCAAGTATCGAATGAAAATCGATCATACAATAAATACAGATTTTGAAATCCACTGTTCGATACGAGACACGATTTAGAAAATATAAAAGATTGTTATTGAAGATATATTCTGTTTTTACAAAATTTTTATACAAAATAAGATAAATATATTATTTTTTATCGATAATCTATTCAAGTTTTCCAATTATATATATAAAATAATATAACAGATAAAAATACAAACAAATTTAAAAGATTTTGGAAAGTTAGATAAATTTAGATGTATATCAATTTTCAAAAATTCCAAAAATATATATGGAGATTCTTATTTCACATATATGTGAATAAAATCGAATCAATTCGTTAATTTTACTATATGGATACTTGTACCATAAATATGATATAAACACTGATATAATAAGTACTTCTAAAGGTTATACTGCATTTACATTGTATATATAATATAATGACATATACAAATACTTACATAATAGAACTTTTAAACGATAGAAGATGAAACAAAAGTCAAACATCTACAATAAAAGAAACTTCTTCAATTATAATTATAAATTTATTATAATATTTATTTAAATCACAATTCTTCTGCAATATAATTAAAAATAACATTTGTAATATTTGTTCAATAACATACGATAGATATCAGCTCAAAAAAAATTTCAATATATTAAAAAAAATTAAAGATCGTTAAATATAACAGAACAGGAATGAATGAGACCGTACATGATTATAGGGAAAAACTTATAAAAGTAAGATATACATGAAAAAGTAAAGGAGTATCATTCATGGAAGACGAATAAAAATTACGTATGATTTTAGAAAAACGATAGAATACAATTACATTAAAATAAAATTATTAATTTAATATAATATTAAAATATGATTAGTATTAAATGCAATAACATAAATATACATTAAAATAAATATATAATTTCTTTAATTCAAATTTTTCCCAAAATGAATGAAACCGTACATAATTATAGGAAGAAAACTATAATGAGTAAGATATAGGTGAAAAAGTAAAAAAGTATGGGAGACGAACGAAAATTGTATGTGAAATTAGAAAACAATATTATTATATTATATAGATAGAATACAATATTATTATATTAAAATAAAATTATTAGTGTAATAAATAAATATAAATTAAAATCAATATTTAGTTTCTTTGATTCAAATTTTTCTCTGCACTTATAAAAAAAGATGAAAACTGACAAGACTTGTTTTTTCGATAGAAAATCTTCGTAAGAAAAATTATAGATCGTTAATATATAACAAAACGAGAATGAATGAGACCATACATGATTATAGAAACAAACCTATAATAAATTATAGGTGAAAAAGTAAAGTGTCATGGAAGTCGAATGAAAATTGCGTGTAAAATTATAAAAACATAATATTATTATATTAAAATAAAATTATTAGTGTAATAAATAAATGTAAATTAAAATAAATACACAATTTATTTAATTCAAATATTTCCTTGCTATTGTAAAAAAAATAAAAATTGACAAGACTTCTTTCTTCATGTTCGTTAAAAAATCTTAAGAAAAATTAAAGACCGTTAAATACACAAAGAACGAGAATAAATGAAACCGTACATGATTATAAAAACAAATCTATAATGAGTAAGATATAGGTGAAAATGTAAAATATCAAGGAAGACGAATAAAAATTGCGTATGATTTTAGAAAAACGATAGAATACAATTACATTAAAATAAAATTATTAATTTAATATAATATTAAAATATAATTAGTATTAATGCAATAACATAAATATACATTACAATAAATATATAATTTTCATAATTCAAATTTTTCTAAAATGAATGAAACCGTACATGATTATAGGAAGAAATCTATAATGAGTAAGATATAGATGAAAAATTAAGTAAGTGTTATGGAAGATGTGCAAAAAAGATGTGTGGAATAGAGAGACAATATAATATAATATTATTATATTAAAATAAAATTATTAGTATTAAAATAAAATTAGTGTTAAGTGCAATAAATAAATAAAAATTAAAATAAATATATAGTTTATTTAATTCCACTTTTTCCTTCTTTGGTAAAAAAAAGACGAAAATTGACAAGATTTATTTCTTCATATTAGTTAGAAAATCATCAACCAAAATTAAAGATCATAAAATATATAACAAAGAACGAAAATGTATGATTATAGATATAAATGTATAATAAATAATAGATAGAAAATAATATAGATAGAAAATAGATAGAAAATAAAATGTAAATAGAAAAGTGAGTGACTATCATAGAAGACGATCGAAAAATTCGTGTGAAATTAAATAATAATAGAATAAAATATTGTTATATTAAAACGAAATTATTATTACTACTAAAGTAAGATTAATGTTAAGTATAATGAATAAATGTAAATTAAAATAAGTATATAGTTTATTTAATTAAAATATTTCTTCGCTATTGTAAGAAAAGATGAAAATTGACAAAACTTGCTCCTTCATGTTCGTTATAAAATTTTAAGAAAAATTGAAGACTGTTAAATATATAAAACAGAACGAGAATGAATGAGACCGTACATGATTATAGAAACAAATCTATAATGAGTAAGATATAGGTGAAAATGTAAAATATCAAGGAAGACGAATAAAAATTGCGTATGATTTTAGAAAAACGATAGAATACAATTACATTAAAATAAAATTATTAATTTAATATAATATTAAAATATAATTAGTATTAATGCAATAACATAAATATACATTACAATAAATATATAATTTTTGTAATTCAAATTTTTCTTAAAATGAATGAAACCGTACATGATTATAGGAAGAAATCTATAATGAGTAAGATATAGATGAAAAATTAAGTAAGTGTTATGGAAGACGTGCAAAAAAGATGTGAGGAATAGAGAGACGATACAATATTATTATATTAAAATATAATTATTAGTATTAAAATAAAATTAATGTTAAGTGCAATAAATAAATAAAAATTAAAATAAATATATAATTTATTTAATTCCATTTTTTCCTTCTTTGGTAAAAAAAAGACGAAAATTGACAAGATTTATTTTTTCATATTAGTTAGAAAATCATCAAGCAAAATTAAAGATCATAAAATATATAACAAAGAACGAAAATATATGATTATAGATATCAATGTATAATAAATAAGATATAGATAGAAAATAGATAGAAAATAAAATGTAGATAGAAAAGTGAGTGACTATCATAGAAGACGATTGAAAAATTTGTGTGAAATTAAATAATAATAGAATAAAATATTATTATATTAAAAGGAAATTATTATTACTACTAAAGTAAGATTAATGTTAAGTATAATGAATAAATGTAAATTAAAATAAGTATATAGTTTATTTAATTAAAATATTTCTTCGTTATTAAAAAAAAGATGAAAATTGACAAGACTTGTTTCTTCATGTTTGTTATAAAATTTTAAGAAAAATTGAAGACTGTTAAATATATAAATATATAAAAAATATATAAAAATATATAAATATATTAAATATATAAAACAGAACGAGAATGAATGAGATCGTACATGATTAGGATGAAACTTATAATGAGTAAGATATAGGTGAAAAAGTAAATGAGTGTCATGGAAGACGAACAAAAATAAAATACATGAAATTAGAAAAACGATAGAATATAATATTATTATATTAAAATAAAATTATTAATATTAATATTAAAATTAAAATATTAAAATAAAATTAAAATTATTAATTTTAAAATGTTAAAGATTAGTGTTAAGTGTAATAAATAAATGTAGATTAAAACAAATACACAATTTATTTAATTCAAATATTTCCTTGCTATGGTAAAAAAAGATAAAAATCGACAAGACTTATTTCTTCATATACGTTATA